TCGCCTGCAACGTGCGTACCGGCGCTGCTGTGTTTCCACGTATCCGTGCGATTCACACAGACGCGCGTTCATAAACCGTAACCTGGGGGCCAGACACTTCCTACGGCGTACATTAATACATACGTAAGGAGTAATTGTGTTCCGCTGCAAAAGGGGATGGAGTGTGGCCTGCAACATCCTTATTACGGGACTGATTAAAATAATTAGCGTGACTAGAAGTTAAGCGTGAACCTGCCACGGCACAGAACGTACCGGAGGATGAAAAACGTACGCGGATCCTGGTATCTTGTCACGTAACAATCACTTGCGTCAAGTGTCTTGCGATAGAAACGTGTTATTAATTGGCCTAAACCATTGCTCAACCATTGTGCGCTGGCACAAGTCGATGGAAAGAAATTCTCTCTGGTCGGCGAACGAACGGGTGGTCTAAACGTGGAACGCGTGGCAAGCGATAAATTTCCGTCGCCTGCGAAGATGAATAATCAAAAGAACAAATTTGTCACGGGACCGCGGCCAGAACGAGAAAACAGCGTTTCGAGATAAAGACAAGGTCTCTCTAAAGGCGAACCCTATCCAGGATAACCGTCAGCGTTTAACCGTGGCGTACCATTTAAGTTATTAGCATAGGGGCTACCGTTTGCGTCGAAACGAGAAAATTACGCGCGACCGGTTCCCATTTGAAAAATATTCCGGTTTAAAAACCTACCCCGTGACCACGATTGCGAGTCTACTAAAATCCTATACAAGCCGTCAATTAGCTGATATAAATCGCAATTGCTTATTCGTGGCCGCGAATGATCGACGTGTTTACGATCGCAAGAAAGCGGTAGGTTACCGAACACCATTCGCCTCGATCTTGTAAATTATTGCACGGACAGCGGCGTTCCGGAGAACCGTGGAAAGCATCGTAAAACAATTTCAACGAAGGCCTTTTTGATAAGCTTGATGGAATAAGTGGACCATATCAGTCAAATCTACGGCCAGTTTTCTCTCTCATTCACCGTCCGTAGGCGTCCATACGTAGACTAGCGTAATCGCACAGAAGCAATTCGTTCGCATGCGTGCACCGTGTGTCAGTTAACACACGCCAGTATACACCGAGAC